AGGGTATCTACTAGTCGGGCATTGTCAGCTAATCAAATCTTAGAGCAATCATAGTTGCTTAAAAATATATCAGGTCTTGCTACTGACTTTTAAGCAAAAAAGTTTTGGGCTAATTGCTATACTAAGTTTTTAGGGCAAGGTTCGTGTACACAGGGTCAGCAAGGAATGCAGTTGAATGAATATTTTGAATAATTTATGTATTGTATTACCTGGAGAAGTAATCAAAATAACATTTAGCTGCTTAAGCTTACATTTTGTTTTTTTCTTAGTAAGTTCAAAGCTAGTTGAACGCGCTCTATTTTGTTGCAGGGCCACACTCAATTCGAAGCCAGTCAAGCAAAGCCAACAAGTACTCGTCATCGTCTCCATCTTCCTCTCCAAACGGGCTGCATCTTTAACAATGCAAGCGAGATTGCATAATGAGACCAGCTTAATGAGCTGACAGCGTCGTGCATATAAGAAAAACGCAACAAATCATGCGCCTGGCTTAGAATTTTTGTCGCACAATTTGCTAACAATAACAATAACGTAAGCAACAAAAATAACAACAACAACAATAATACATTAACCAAGTGCCAACTATAACAATAACAATAACGACAACAACATATGCAACCGCACTGGAAGGTCTGCATCTCGTCTGTGTCTGGCTGGGTCTGGTTTGGGTCTGGCCTGACTAGGGGCGACCCGGTCTGGTCTGTGCTGGCAACGCATGACAATGGCGCCGACAATGCCAAGCAAGTCCCCCAGATTCTGCTCCACAGTCAACCCAATGAGGCATGTGGCATATATTTTATGTTTTTTTTTTCACACGTGCAGCGTATTTCGTTGTTCGGTTTTCATTAATGGGACACGACGCTTGCTGATTATTTTCGTTTCATTTGCTTTTTATTTTGATCATCTTCAAGTTGAATGGAAGATGTCAGGGAATACTATGAGTTACCCCACGATTCAAGTGTCAGCTGAACTATTTAAGCATTTCTTTAATTAAATAGGTAAAATTTTAAACCCATTTTACCTGCAAGATGTGCTGCTTCGGAAACTAAAATCTATTTTCATGTCTTTCAGCAATTGTTTTTAGTTTAAGCTTTTATTTTATTTAAATTAATAAAATCATATATAAGTAAATTATTTAAAATTTAAGTTGCTTTCGTTCTTTACCCTTAATGTGGGTAGATTTATAAGAAGTATGGAGCTCAATTGTTAAATTATTGTGGCATAGAAAAATTAGGGTATTTGTTTTTTGCATACCCTGGTTTTGTGATTGTCACTTGTTGATAACAAAATGAAAGTGGGCAGGGTATTGCTCGTGATAAGTAGCCATGGTCCCAGTTCTAGTTTGAAAGCTTATCACCACAGTTGACCCACCGGTTCAGGGAAGTCACACGAAATTTGATTGTCAATGCTAATCGTATTGGATCCTAGGCTTTCTCGCCAGCTGCTGAGCGCTGTTGTGGTTTAGTTTTCACTTTGGATTCGTAGCGCGCAGCTGCTAATCAAGATGTGGCGCACAGGTATCGCACAGCAAGCAGCTCGCCAGGATTTGTGGCGCGTTTTGGGGCGCAACAAGAGCAGGAGCTCGGCACCAGCGCCAACATTGCCCCAGTCGGCGGATGTGGTGGTGATTGGCGGCGGCTCGGCTGGCTGTCACACGCTCTACCATCTGGCCAAGCGGGGCGTAAGGGCGGTGCTGCTGGAGCGAGCACAGCTGACGGCGGGCACAACCTGGCACACGGCGGGGCTGCTCTGGCGTCTGCGACCCAGCGATGTGGACATACAGCTGCTGGCCAACTCGCGGAATATGTTGCGTCAGCTGGAGGCCGAGACGGGCCTAGACCCTGGCTGGATACAGAACGGTGGCATCTTCATAGCGCACAATGAGACGCGCCTGGACGAGTACCGTCGCCTGGCAACTGTTGGCGCAGCTCTGGGCATTGAGAACGAGATACTCTCGCCCGAGGAGACGCAGAAACTGTTTCCCCTGCTCGATCCCAAGGCATTTATTGGTGCACTCTACTCCCCCGGCGATGGCGTCATGGATCCCGCAATGCTCTGCACGGCTTTGAGACGGGCGGCAACTAACTACGGCGCCCAGGTGATCGAGAACTGTGATGTACAGGAGATTCTCGTCGAGCAGGGCACACGTGGTAAAAAGGTTGTGGGTGTGGCCACGCCCTATGGCAACATACGCACCGATACTGTGGTGAATGCCACTGGCGTCTGGGGTCGCGATCTGGTGGCTCGACATGGTACCCACCTGCCGCTGCTGCCCATGAAGCATGCATACATTGTCTCCGAGTCGATACCGGGTGTTCGCGGTCTTCCCAATATACGGGATCACGATTATTCCACATACTTCCGCATACAGGGTGATGCCATTTGCATGGGCGGCTACGAGCCGAATCCCATACTGCTGGAGCCCGTGGCGAAAGACTTTCACTTTGGCCTCTACGAGCTGGACTGGTCGGTCTTTGAGACGCATGTGGAGGGCGCCCAGAAACTGTGCCCCGCCTATGCTAAATACGGTGTTAAGAGCACCGTTTGCGGTCCGGAGTCCTTTACGCCGGACCACAAGCCACTTATGGGCCCGGATCCAGTGGTGTCTGGCCTCATGCACAACTGTGGTTTCAACTCGGCTGGCATGATGTTCGGTGGTGGCTGTGGCGAGCAAACGGCTCTGTGGATCATCAATGGCCAGCCGGATGTGCCCATGTTTAGCTTTGATCTGCGACGCTTCACACAGGAACAGGGCCGTGCCACCAAGTGGATACAGGAGAAGTCGCACGAGAGCTATGTGAAGAACTACAGCATGGTCTTCAAGTACGATCAGCCGCTGGCCGGACGTGACTTCCAAAAGGATCCGCTGCACGAAGAGATGCTGCAGTACAACGCCTTCATGGAGGAGAAGCAGGGCTGGGAGCGACCCGGTTTTTTTCTGGAATCTAGTGTAGACTCTGCACCAGTGCTACCCTATGACTGGTACGGCAGCTATGACCACCCACGCCATAAGGACAGCAACTACGAGCGTGTCCTGGAGGGCGATCTAAAGTACAGCAGCTTTTCGGAGTATCACGATCTGGTAAGTCCATATACCAACTTTCTCTACAGCCTATCTAATTATAGTACGTTTCCATTTTCAGATTGGAGCTGAGGCACACGCCTGTCGCAACAACGCGGTGGTCTTCAACATGAGCTACTTCTCCAAGCTGTTGCTGGAGGGACCACAGGCTCAGCTGGCCGCCGACTGGCTCTTCTCTGCGAACACCAACCGCGATCCCACCAAGTGAGTATATGAAGCTTTGAATGAATAATCCATAATCAAATATTTATCTACTATTTATAAATCACAGAACTGTCTACACCTGCGCGCTAAACGATGCTGGTGGCGTTGAGGCGGACGTAACCATAAGCCGTTTGGCATCGGGCTCTGGGCAGGTGCACGATCCCAAGTTCGAGGGTCAGGGATACTATATTGTGGCTGGCGGTGCTTCGGCTTATTACACGTACAGCATGCTGCTCAGCGAGATGCGACGCAAGGGCTTTGATGCCAATTTGACTGATATCACAGCCGATCTGGGCGTCATTTCTATACAGGGACCCAATAGTCGGCAGATTCTGCAGCCGCTGCTCGACTGCGATCTCTCCGATGAGCATGTGCCGCCAAATAGCACTCGCTTGGCCACCTTCAAGGGAATTGGACTGCGTCTGCTGCGCGTCAGCTTTGTGGGTGAGCTGGGCTATGAGCTTCATGTGCCCAAGCAGGATTGTGTGGCCGTCTACAAGGCGCTGATGGCTGCTGGCAAGGCACAGGATCTCCGTAACGCAGGTTACCGAGCGCTGTATTCCCTCAGCAGCGAGAAGGGCTATCATCTATGGAGCTACGATCTGCGTTCGGATGATACCCCGTTAGAGGCTGGCCTGGGCTTCACCTGCCGCAAGACGGGTGATTTTCGCGGTCGTGCCGCAGTGGCGAGGCAACGCGCGGAGGGCATCAAGAAGCGCTTGGTTTACCTCACTCTGCAGCAGCGGGTGCCCATTTGGGGCCTCGAAGGGGTCTACCGAAATGGCGAGCCTGTCGGCGTGCTGCGCCGAGCTGAATACGCATATACGCTGGGAAAATCTCTGGGTCAGGCTTATATATCACGCACTGACGGCCAAACGGTCGATGTGGACTATCTGAAAGCGGGTGCCTATGAGGTGGACATTCTTGGCAAGCGCTACAAGGCGGATTGTCATCTGCGCAGCCCCTTTGATCCCACTGGCCAACGTGTCCTCGGGAACTACGAATCAATCATGACAAATAAATCTTAATTGTGTCCTACCAAATCTATTAAACTTTATTGTTGGGCAGGAAAGTTAAATTTTCATAAGAGCTAAGAAGCTGTAGTTTTTCTTTAGTTACCTCAGGTGGATATTTTGAAAGATTTTTGTAAAAATTCCGTGCTAAAATTACGTGTTTCACAATTTTTGCTTAATGTAGGACTCCTCGGTGGAAAACGCGTATGAAAAACTTTTTGGGCGAAGTTTCATTGTTTGATTAAGTGAAGCTCCAAGTTTCTTAAGATCGGACTCAAATTTATTTTCAAAGCACAGCATAAAAACTTAATGAATACGTGATTCGGCAATTTTACAAATTCCAGCAGCAGCCTTGACTACATCCGATAGCCTTCAAACTTAATTTATATATTTTGTGAAAATGTATTTGATACGTTATTCGCAAAATCCATCGCACTTCGATGGAAAATGCGAGTCAAAGGTTTAAGTAACGAAAGTTCAATATTCAGCTACAATAAATATCCCAGTAAAATTGATTTTGAGACGTGGATTACAAGATAACTTTATGCTGTGTATGCGTGTGCGCATAAATATGTATGTGTGCATGTTAGTATGCTTGTATAAATGTCTATGAATATAAGAATTTATGTATGTTTGCATATATATATGCATGTGTGCATGCATGTCTATATGTATATATTTGTATGCATTATGTGTGTAACCGAATGTATGCGTATATTTTGTATGTTAGCATGCAAGACAAAGTTACTCCTAGCTGCGCTGAAAATATAAAAAAAATTATTATAACTAAGGCCCTTCTACTCGATTCTCATAAATTCAAATAAGCCTCATAGACTTCACTTCGAGAAGAGGAGGCAGCTTCAACTGTGGAGGAGACGGCTTCTACTGTGGAGAAGGCAGCTACTGTGGAGGAGGCAGCTTCTACTGTGGAGGAGACGGCTTCTTAAGCTATAGAGGAGACGGTGACTTTAATATTAAAGGAAACGGCCGCTTCGATTATAGAGGATACGGCAGCTTCAGCAATGACGGAGGCGGTGGCCCTAATATAAGAGAAGGTGGCAGCATCAACTATGGAGGAGGCGACAGATTGAGCAAAAGAGGAGGCGGTGGAGGAGACGGCGGCTATGTATTTGATGGCATCAACTTTAAATGAGGCCATTGAAAAAAACTGGTATGTATTTTAATTTTTACTATGTCTCATCATATGTAACATATATTACAATCGCATATATGCATATTTGTTTGTATGTATGCGAGCATGTATGAGCTTAAAATTAAACAAAAATTACTCTATTCCCACAAATGCAGGGAAGGTTTCGCAAGCAGGCTACGTTTTTAATCTAATATACATTCTCCTTGCTTTTCTGTTCTTTCAGTGATGTGTTTGTATAAAAGATCGCTACCCGCCTGCTGATAGATGACAATAAAATAATCATGGGTGGGAATTTACAGGTGAGTACGTAACTATAAATATATATTTATATTTATTTACTATCAAAATAATGGCCAGATGAAGGTTCTTCAAGTAATAAAGCAAAAAGGTGCACCGATTGCTCTTTAGTTTGTTTGAATAGCTTCATGAGCTTCGGTATTGACAATTTGGCGGAGTTTGCTTTATATATATAATATTTCCTTGAAATATCTTGAATTCTATTTTTATTTATTATGCGAATTGTTCCAATCTGAAGTTATTTTTTATTTTATTTTTGAATTTAACTCGAGGCCAATGAAAAATGTTTAGATAAACTTGAGCTACGCAACAATTAAATCTTTTACCGTTGCGAAATACGCATATTTGTGGCATTAATGGCTAATGATAATGGTTTGAGTTTCGGTTTCTGTTCAAGAATCTTCAACTTTGCCACGTGATGGCAAGTCAAAGTCAGTCACTGGGTTATGGCTATGATGTTGCCACAGTCACAGTCACAACCACAGCCAGAGCCACCACATCTGCATAGAGGCAAGTTAATTAGCTCTCTGAAAAGCAGCATCAGACACCACAGACCAGGTTAATTATGGCCATATAATATGTTGTTATTGTAATTTATCATTGTTTACGCTTTGTGCGCGCACTTCTTGAAGATTCTGCCGCTAAACGGCCTTGCCTGACTTTGTGTATGGAGTTGGTGGGTTGAGGTAACGGCAAGGGGGGGGGGGGGGGGGGACATATCAGCACCTAGAGGCAGTCGTAATGCCCAATTAAATGACAACACATTTCTTTGACAAAGCCCAATTTTCAAAAATGTTACATAAACTCAACGCTGCAATGAGCCAAAAACCTACAAAGCAATTAAAAATTGTCGTGCTTAATGACGCAAGATGTCAAATGGCTGATTAAGCGCCAGCCGGGCGAGGCGTGGGTTGCGGCAGAGAGAAAAGTGAAAAGCAGCCTACACAGTGAACCACATAAATCTCTGTACATGCACACGTACATGTTTATTCATATATATAAATATGCATGTAGCCTCGAGCAGTTGGCTTCATGGTAAGCCGCTTTAATATCAGGCAACTTTGTTGGCTCTCAATTTGAAATTGCCTTCATTGCCAGCACTGGCTGGCGGGGGTCATTTGGGCCCCAAATCTAATTGCAGCCACAGTTATGGCTAGGGCGCTACGAATCTTTTATTCGGATCTCAGTTTGCAAGTCAGCAGCAGCTTGTTGCGGCACTCGACGTCGACGCCACTTCAAGTTCAAGTTCAGGCTCCGCTCATTTAGTCAATCGAACAACTGCAATTTGGCAATGTTCACACTTAAATTTATTCACACATCTGCCAAAATGGGCTGCTGGTTGGGTTTGCTTTTGCTGCATAAATCGGTTGAACGAATGCGCTCAAAGTCAAGATGCACGGCAACATTATGGTTTATTGTATTTGCTATGGAATTCGGTTTCGATTGAAGTAGCTTCGAGCAAACATTATGAGTTGCAATTAAAATTAATTTACTCAATGACCTTGCGGCTGCTGCTCCAATCGTTTGCAATGCATTTGAAGATGCACAATCTGTGAATGGCAAAGTGCGTGTGAGGATGCGCTTTTGCCTTGTCGTGAACTTGAATTTTGAAAGTGCGCACCTGAAAAGCTGTAAAACACAAATTAATTCGATATTCGATATATTGCGCTTGCAATGAGCTAAGCATAAAACATCTGCTGGCAGGCTTAACATGAAAAATTAATTAAAATGTTTGATGTGCTTGAGCACAAGCACCTCAACACAACATTAATCAAAATATAATAATAATTTAGGGGCTGGCTGAGCATGAAACTGACCCTACAATATGCTACAATTAAAGCCAACAAAAACAAAAAATATTTTAAATTGTTTTCGTTTATTTTGTGCCTTTTATTAATTTTGGTTTTTGTTGCTTTTTATTTTGTTTATATATTTGTTTTTTTTTTCCCCCCACTTTTGGCTAATGATGAACAAATTGTGCCGGAAGCAACAGCGCTTCATTGATTTTGCTGACATTATTGACACAGTTTTGTAGCCCCCCGACTGATCAGGCGCCTTGTTGAGTTACATAAGTGAAATGTAAATAAAATGTTGATAAGTCACGAAAGTGATTTTTTTAAGTGTGCCGCCAGGGGGCACAACAAAGGCAAAGAAATAAATAAATAAGAAAATAAATAAATAAATCGCTAATCATTTGTTTAAACAAAACGCGTAACGGCATCAAATATATTGCATTTTTCCATACATATTACTATTATTTTTCACCAATAAGCAAAAAATTCGCAAACCAGCAGGCTTAACAAAAGACTCAGGCGACAAACTTGTTTCGAGGAGCGACGCGCCTGCAAACATGTTGCTCGAACCACCTGGCAACTGCAGCTCAAACCTAACATACTGACATAGTTAAACGAGTGTGCGTGAGTATGTGTGTGTGTGGTGTAATTTACTGGCGATTTACTGGGCCATAACTCAATTAACAATGAGATGTCCAACTGAGGTTTGAGTGGAAATCGCTTTGGTTTCGAGCACTTGACTCGCTTGGGCTGTTTGTTTTGGCCATAGGCTTACAGTAGGCTGCACACACACACACACACATGTATACTGGCGTTAATGCACGACAAGCGCGGTTTGAGCCGTGTTCGAGCGGCAACCGCAGCGCCAATGTTGTTCGTTTAATGCTGTTTGTTGTTTTTGTTGTTGGCTTTGGCTAGTTGTGCACCTTACTTTTTTGTTTTTGCTTTTCCGTTTGCTTTTGTTTTGTTTTGTTTTTTTTTTGCATTTTGTTTTTGGTTTTGGGGACAAGCTATAAACCGTGGCAAGATCGTCGTTGCGTTCAGTTGGTAAAAGTGAAGCGTTGCGTGCGGTTGTCTCTCTCCACACTCCATAAAACAATTACAAGTACATCATTTTTTATTCTCGTTCAGCAAGCAAACATCGCTGACTCGTTTGTGGTGTTAACATCGTAAATACATATTGTACAAGGTGATTATCTACGCACATCCTGCAGGGATAAACTAAAAAACTGTTGAAATTTTAAAGAAACCAGCCAGATTTGTGTTTAACGCAACTTTGTGTAGTGGATTTTTGAGTGCATATTTTGAAAAATGAAGCTCTCTTTAGATGGTTGCCAAATGGGCTTAGTTTAGAAATGAAAAACCTTCGCTGCTCGGTGTCAAATTGGAATGCTTCGCTGATTTCTTCATAAAATTAAAGATATATTAGGTATTTTTAAATAACATATAGATTTGACTGATAAAAACAGTATTAGACCTGTTTTAATAAATAAGTTCTTTTCTGTGTGCATATGACAATTAAATTTTCAGAAATATAATATTCTGGCATTTCAATATTAAGCCAAATAAAACCCCAATCTGAGGATTCCGCTCACATTTTAGAATCATATTAGAGGTCGTTTTTCGAGAATTTGTACTAGCTCTATTGAACAACAATCTAAGTTTTCAATACTAAATCCAATAGTTTACATAGCATCTATATAGTACAGTGATCCGATTCCGCGTAATACGGATCCGTGCTATATATGTAGTTTTAGAACTGAGAGATTAGCTTGTGTTGATAGATGAGGTGAGAGTAATTTCCATAATAACTCGTCGTCGTGATCTAGAAGAAATACATATAATCTGAGTGGCTAAAATTCTTTAATGACAATATCAGATAGCATCTGCAAAGCTATAATATGGTGTTAATTCTTGTTCAAGTGAATTTTAACCCAAAAGTAGAATGAAATTATTACGAATGTTTCAAAATAAACACGCAGCAAGAAATTCGAATACGAAATATATACAGTAAAATACAGATATATTCGTTTTTATTTCCATGAAAATAAAATATTATTATTCGTATATAATATTTCTCGAGCCAGAACTTGTTCCTAAACTCTTTTATTATTTGCATAAATAAACGATTGTCTTATGAAATGAATCTTAAAGTCACACAAAATGTTAAGATAAAAAGGAATTGTTTCCTCAGTTTTAGCCTTGTTTCAGTGGCCCTTCTATTAGAACTGACAGAGACTGATGAAAAACTAATAATCAGATAGGTGCAGTATAAATACAGATGCATTTAAGCAGATACTTGAGGTTCCATATTTGCCGAGGTGCTTATCTAGTTGCAATTAAGCATGCCCTAGTTTTTGTTAAAACGCTTCTGTGCGAGAACAGCCCACACCCATTCACTCACACACATGCACACCCCCGACTGCGCGCGCGTGTGTGTGTGTGTGGCTACCAAATTACATGCATTCAAGCAGAAGATTGCGCAATATGTTTTGTATTTGGCCGCCTCAGTGCAAATGAGCGGAAAATCTAATTTTCCAGCCGCATGCAAATTTTGTTTTATTTTTGTTTTATTAGTTTTTCGTATGTTTTTTTGCAATATGCCAAAATGTCAGGCTGCGGTCATGAGCTAACTGCTACTGCAGCTTGGAGGTCGTAAACATAAAACATGCTCATAATGCTTTATGGGGTTGAGGCATATGAACGGCAACCAGATAACAGCTAAAGGCCAGAAAATAACAAAAACGCATTTAACATTCTTATAGGTCTTGTTTTTATTGTGCCAAAACAGCTGCAGATCAGCAAATTACACAGCTGATGAGCAAGTTTTGGGCATCGTGACCATATAAATGCAGGCAATCTCCAGAAGAGCTGTCTGCCGAAGACAACTGCAATAAAATTCCTCTGAAG